ATAGGAATTGATAAAATAACCATCATATGGTGTGATGAAATCGTGAAAATTATGATTTAATAAATAATTAAGTGGGTGAATTTTTTTTAATTTACGCCACATTTAACTAGCATGTCGACCGTTTTTTAGATTTGCTAAAAACCTATTTATCATAAAAATTGAAAATTAGTCCTCGAAATAACGYAAATTATTTGAAAAATAATATAATAAAAATGAAGTCGTTTATTTAAAATTTTTCCTGTTTTTTATGATTTGTTGAAAAACTAGTAGTCCGCAAAAATTGAAAATCAGTCGTACCTAACGTGATCGTACGTCCTTGAGAAATTACCTATGAAGGAAAAACACGCACGCCAAATTCGTTTTCTGCGCGCACACACATCCGCTAATACCTAYATATTGGCACGGAGTCACAACTGTCGTTCCTATTACTGCAGTATAATAATACATACAAACACACACGCACATCTATGCTGTAACACACGTCATATGTATGTATATAGGTAACCACTGTGCAGCACATAATAATATTATATGGGGATAATACCTTTAAACAGTCGATACAGTGTTTGTTTTGTTCTCATTTCAAATCTGATATTCTAATTTCCATCTCCCACACGACTCTCTCGCGCCGGTCGTATACACGGCAGCACCAGCAGGTGACACTGACCTCTTAAGCACACACACACATCGGTATAATATTGTATATATGTGTGAACGACCGTTCCTCATCATAGCCGCTCGCCGTTGGTGGCCGATTCCGCGCGCCACTGTGGCTTCCCCGGTCGTATAGTCGAGTGTATATAATATAGAAACTAGATTACTGACCTTAGATATCTGCAGAGCTGCTGCTGTGCGTACAGGGTACTTATATATATATGTATAAAAAAACGTGTATAAATAAAATAAATAATGGTTACCACACGTCGTCGTTGCGAAATGCCATACGTAGGGGCCTATAACTATATAGTATATATATATACCTATTACCGACAGTGCCGAACGGTATATGACGCTGCAGGATCGTTCAAAATATATCGTGTCGAAAAGTCTGGACGAYGTTACATCGTCGRTTACGTTCGAATAGATGATAATTATTAATTAGGGCTGGGATTTCGATGCACTTTGCACTGTTTTTTCAAAGCTTACTGCGCGATGCTCGTCTGGTCGCAAATATGGTTTTTATATGTACTTATGATTGAGAATAAGAAAGTTTATTCTGCAGTTTTTAGTTTTTAGGTAATTTTCTTAATTTTTTAGGGCGTTTTGGAGTTTTTGGAAACCAAGTATGGATTTGAAATTTTATTTTAAGATTTTTACACCAACATGGTTTTTATATAAATATAACAGATTATAAGTATAGGTAGGTACTCGTAATTCGAATTATATATTATCGGACAACGCTTGAGTAACCACTACCCGCATTTCCTGTTAAATAATCTTATAAGTCGGTAAAATCGACGTCCGATGATATCGTTTGACTTTCAGTAGTAGTTTTTAGGTCATAAAAGCATTTTTTTTTTAAGGGAATTAAAATCCCAGCCCTAATGRTAATAATATATTCAGAGGTATATCAGTGCCTATAGGTATATTATGGTGATACTGAATACTGATACACATTGAGTATTGGCGCCGCACAGCCGTTTTTTGAAAATCAAGAGGGTTGACAATATATTTACGTCACACCTATAATACAGGGCAGGCTATACTTCTAAATTAAAATATGTCATACATGACGTATATATATAAATGCAAGTATCGCGTAAGACGTTTTTGCGTTTCGCCTGTTTGAATCTCTTTACGGGCTTGTATTAATATATAATTATCTTTATAAATTTATAATAATGACGACGGTGGTGATATAATATATTACATACAGTGATATCATATTAATTATTACGCGCGCACATCATGACGTTTTTATCGAAACTAGTGAAACAGTGGGCGGGGCTGACGTCTGAAGGTCGGAGAGGGGTGGAGTTGCGTGTTTCTGTACCGCACGGCGATTGCGCTACACCTCGCAAGACACGCATTGTTTTCTAGGCATATAATAGTACATGTCATCTCAATACCACGACCGACGACGACGTCCGTACATTTTCGATTTGCCGTCTAATATTATTGTATCGCATGTCCTCCTGTGCAGCGAAATAGTGAAAGTGTGAAATCATTTCTGCAACGATCCGCGTACASAGTTGTCCATTTCAAAAGAAAAAAAAGAAAAACACCGCTGCAGCGGGTCAGCGAAACGTAAAAAACGCAATGACTGAAAATAATATTCYCATACCAAGTTTCGTCGGTCGACAAGACCGCGCCAGGGAAAAAAAATCGGATCACATATACTTACTATATACCCGAACATGGTCACTGGTCAGGACACTGWATAATAATAACTAGGCAACGCATTTTTTCGGAAAGTCCGAATACGTTGCTTTCCAAACACAAAATTAATTTCATACATCAAGGAATTAAAAAAATGTAATTTTAATTATGTATTTTTTTTACATTTTAACTTTTAAGACTTTATTACATTTTTAGTGCATTTTATATGTTTTTATATAGGAATAGATCAAATTCGATAAAAATATATGCACATTCATTCTCAAAAATAAAAATAAAAATAAATATTTATTATGTTTTTGCCGATTAGATAAACCAAGACGAAATTATTTTTGACACGTTAATTTTTAATTTTTAAATTTTTTTACGTAGGTAGAAGTAGGTACAATAGGTACATACATACAAGTTTAACATATTATAGTTTTTATTGTATTTAAATATTTTTTATTAGATAAATTTTTCAAAATATTGTGTTTTTTATAAGTTTTAAGTTCGAAATTGTGTTTTTATTGAATTTAAGTACATTTTAAAAGTTTTTTAGGGAATTTTTTTAGTGCATTTTTTTAAGGCATTAAAGTCCGTTTCCTAAATTAAYAACACTACGATATTGTGATTATATTATTATATACATATATAGGGAAGCTCGTATATAATATGCCTACAACGAGGAGCACGGACGGGGCTTGTAAAAATAAATATTATAAACATACCTCACGTGTCATCGTTTCGTTGAACTCTGTGACCCCGAATTAGAAGCGCATCACACATACATATATCCATATACCCGAGATCTTTATCTTTTTTTCTCCTCCAAACATTTATTTTTTTATCTGGTACTTACCTATTTATCCATATTATACGACGACGGGTATTAATATTGACCCACGGTGTCTCTTACACACGGCATAGTGCCTACACTACCGCATGTCGTCGTATATATCATATATTGTGTGTATAGTGTAATATTATAGGTATATATATATATATATATATGCACGCGAGTTTGATTATTATTATTATTTATGACAGCGGTCCGCCTATAGGTGTAAATATTATTATCAATATTTTACCTATTGTGCACGCGCCCAACGATCAAATATGTACCTTTAATTATATATGCCTGCCCGCGCAAATCGGTCGATTGTCATCACTGCTAGCTGTCTCTATCGCCATCGCCCTCGCCGTGTATATGTTATGCTAAAAACCGCCGACGAATTTGTCTTAGGYATACTAAACGACGGGCGTGGCCAACTTTGATAGACTTTTATAGACCAAAAAAACAACAAAACGTTGTCAAAAAAAAAAAAAGATGCTACGTTATGTATATAAGCGTGCGTTACACTTCTTTCATTGATTTTATTTTGGAAATTAATAAGTATTATATACAGCATTAACATTTAATCTCACAGTTTCACACGCGTTTACAGGACATATATATATATGTATTATTTGACTTTAATACTTTGGTTATTGTGTTCGCTTAATCATTCAATATGAGACGTTTGTATATGCATATACTTGCAATTGATTTGATTATTTCACGAATTCTGACGCGTATATGATGACAATGATAATCTTAAGCTACCCTCAGAATGCATATCAGTCGAACGTGRACGGTACTTACTTTCGGTTTGCAATAATAAATAGGAATAATAGGAGTTAATTCGGGATATCCATCAGATTACGTGTTACGTATACAATGTATACTTATGTACAGGTATATAGTTACTCGGCATCTGCGTACAATCTCGTTGTTCACGTATAGCTATATTTATTGCATTTTTCCAAATCTAATTTTTATGTCTGTGGGTCGAACAAAGAGATGCACAAATTTACGAAAAAACATAAACTATTTCAAAATCCAAAAGTTCGAAAAAAATGGCGAAAGGGAGTGGCGATCGACCTATATAGCTGTTAGCCACCCCTGCCATGTGCCACCTCTCCGCACGTAAACTTTATTACATACAGACGCTATATATGCCATAGGTACGCCACAATAACCCCGTGCCCACACATTTATGCGAACCGACGAAACGAAAAAATGGGTTCATTAAAACCAAAGCGCGCGTGGTATGCGCGCTCGCCGCTCAGCATAATAATACATATACCTATAGGTATACACGCATTATATTATTATTTAATATTATACTTATATATAATATTATATCGGAATTGCAGCAAAAAAACGGGAATAAAATAACGAAACAAAGGGAAACGTTCACTTCATTGTTCTTGTATTCTTAACCCTGCAGAGATCTCGGTGTACAGATGACCTATTCCGTGTATTATGAGACCTCCGTGCCGGAGAATATAAGCGCATATAAGTTTTATCTAGTCTGGTGCACCATCACCGTTGCGCGGCGCAGTGCTCTCGACTAATGCGCTTCTTCTTATGCAAGGATATGGGTGTGTGTCTGTGTGTGTGTGTGTGTGTGGTGTGTATACATATACATAAACGTTGACCCATAAATAACCGGCAGACCTCTATTGTCAACGCTACCGTTTTTTTTTTCGTTTTTCTAAAGGGAGAGAGTGAGAGAGAAGGATGGATGGACGGAAAAAAGAAATAAGGTCTTATAAACACACACTTGAGAGTTTATATATACCTATACAAATATTATTTATTTTATGTAATATATAATATTATATTTATATAGCGCCAGTACAATGGAACAGTCGAGCGCGCAATATACACACACTTGCAGCATATTATACGAATACGGCATACGATGATGTACAGCAATAATTGTACGTAAAAAATAATAAAACAGACAATAATATAATATAATGTAATATTATATATGCATGTGACGATTAACCGGAGACATATATTTACGACCGCAAAATCCCTGCACAATCTTCTGCCGTCAGAGTATTCACTTTTCGCACGCGTCCTCGACCTCGACCTCCTCCTCCTGCTGCTGCTGCAGTATTCGGGTATCCATGAGATACGTGGCCGTGGTCAGATAACCCGTGTGGCCGCGAGGGGACGACGAAGGGATGCAAGCCAAAAATTTCTTGTCATTACTCGGTTCTTCGGTTGTATTCTGTGGAGAAAAAAAATTTCGCGTTTTTAAACACAATATGTTATTATAGATAGGTCTGTACTCCTGTCTCCTACATGCAAATATTATATTAACAATTTGATGGAGAGAATTTTCGCGGCAAAATATTACATAGCTCTTCATCGATCGTATATATTTGATGTA